GTAACGAGTGTGGCCTCGTTACCTTCACCGTGACACCGGGCCGGTGGAGGCGGAACGGAGCACGGCCGACAGCAATGCCTGTCACCCTGCCGGTCCCGGTGCGAGGCCCCGCCCGCAGCCGCCGGGGTACGTGCTGTCCCGGCAGGCTCATGGCCCGAGCGATTCCGGCTCCCAAAAGCCCATGGCCGTGCCTGTAAGTGCAGCTGCGGCGTCCGGCACAGAGAGGAACACGACAGAGACTCTCGTTCAGAGGGCTGCACGATGGAGAAGGCAAACCCCAGAGCATCGCGGTCTGCGAGGGGCTGGAGTTTCACAGCCCTGGCTGCTGTTGGCCAAGGAGATCTTTCTCCTGCAGATGGAAAAATGCCTCTTGCAGTGCGCAACTGTGCTCTTGCAGCTGTTTGCAAGCCCGTGTCTGTGACTGAGAGGGATGCGAAGCCTGTGCCTTGGCTGTCTGGTTGCCAGGGCTTCAGGTGGAAGAAGATAAATGGGGCAGAGCACACCGACCACCTCAGGGTTGAAGCCTTCGTATGCCAGGACGTGTTTGTGAGGGTGTGATGCTCTCCTCCATCAGAGGAGATGGCTGGACAGTGCCCTGTTTGTTTTCACAGGAATTGTGAGCACTCTCCAGTTATCACTGTGCTTTCTTCCATCAGGAGGAAGCGGCATCCGTGTCCCTTGTGCTGGAGATGAGTTCCAGCCAAGCTGGTCAGGCTGGGAGGGGAAGGAGGGAGAGCGTGGGGGGGTTTTGGGGTGAATGGCAGAGCAATGCGACTTCATGATTCTGAGCGTACCCGTTCACCCCGGCAGAGAAAAGCAACTTGACGGTGGATGCGGTGAAGCTGCACAATGAGCTGCAGTCGGGGTCCCTGCGTTTGGAGCGGCCGAGTGACAGCGCTCAGCTCCATATGGAGGAGGATGATGCTGGTGAGGCTGCCACAGAGAAGTCCTCCGGTACCTTCCTGAGCGGGCTGAGTGACTGCACCAACGTCACCTTCAGCAAGGTGCAGCGCTTCTGGGAGTCCAACTCTGCCGCTCACAAAGAGGTATGGGGAGGAGCAGGGCTAGGTGGGGTCCAGTGGGGATGCCCCCCCTGGAGGTGAGGCTGAGTGTGCTGACCTGCTCCGCTTGCTGCTTGTAGATCTGTGCTGTGCTGGCGGCCGTGACGGAGGTGATCCGCTCGCAGGGGGGCAAGGAGAGCGAGACGGAGTACTTTGGCGCACTGGTGAGTGATGGTTGTGGGGAGGAGGCGTGAGGGGAGCTGCTGTTGGCAGCCTGGATGTGCTCTCAGGAGCGGTGGCGGTGGAACATGCTGTGCTCGTAGCCAAGGCCCTGGATGTCCTTCTCCAGAAAAGATGCTGCTGGGCTGCTCCTGGTTTCTCTGCCCCCACTCCCCAAGGCTTCAGGATGGGGAAGGGCTGGCCTGGTGCAAACCCTCACTTCCCCTCACTCACCCCTCCTCTGTTTCCAGATGACCACGCTGGAGGCGGTGGAGTCCCCCGAGTCGCTGGCTGCTGTCGCCTACCTGCTCAACCTCGTCCTAAAGCGGTGAGCGGCTGGCAAAGGAGTGGGGACAGCTGCCTGGCCCCATCAAGGAAGAGGGGCTGGCGCTGTCCCCCTTGCCAGGCTGGGGAAATGACCCAACCAGGGTGGGCTGGGGATGCAGTTCCCTGCGAGAGTGCCACCGGCTGCCTGCTCCTCACACTGCTGACGTACCCCCTTCTCCTGGCAGGGTCCCAAGCCCTGTGCTCATAAAAAAGTTCTCAGATGCCTCAAAAGCCTTCATGGGTATTGTGTCCTCGCAGGCCTGCAGCAGCTCCACCTCTGCCCTGCGATGGGTGAGTAGCCAAGAGGCAGCCAGCTGTGCTGGCTCTGATGTGGCAGGGGGGTCTGCTGAGAGCTGGGGTCAAGGCTGCTGTTGTAGGGTCGTGCTGGGTGCTCGACCTGAGGCCACTGCAATGAGGGGGGTGTCTGTGTGGGGTGATGCTAACACCCCTGCTGCTCCCTTGTAGGTCCTGTCTTGCTTGGCCACACTCCTGCGGAAGCAGGACTTGGCAGCCTGGAGCTACCCTGTCACCCTCCAGGTCTATCATGGCTTGCTGAGCTTCTGTGTTCATACGAAGCCCAAGGTGAGCTCCTGGTGCCCTTGGCAAGGGATGATTTTGTCTTTGGGGCTCATTTCTGGAGCTGGCTGTGCCCCCAGGGTCTGTGGCTTCCACCCACCTGGGCTCTCCTTCCCCCAGGTGCGGAAAGCGGCGCAGTACGGCGTGTGCTCTGTCCTGAGGGGCAGCGAGTTCATGTTTGGAGATGCAGCCCCTGAGCATCACCCCGCGGCACCCTCCACCGCCAAGTTCTGCGTGCGGGAGATCGAAAAAGCTGGAGGTGTGGGGCGCTGGAGCAAGGAATCTGCAGCAGAGTGGGGGGGGGTCCTGCAGCTGTGGGAGAATAAGGACTTGAAGGGAAGAGGGGAGGGTGCAGCACCCTGGATTGATGGGGAGGGTATAAGATGCCGCTGGGGCACCTTAAGTGTTTTGGAGGGCCCTCAGCCACCTGTCTGTTGCTCTGCTCTTCCCAGAAGTTGCCGGGTGATGTTCACCTGAGCTCTGCGGGTCAGCCCCAGTGCTGTCACAGGGGCTTTGCCTCAGGCAGGGCTTTGCCATGGGGTGCCATGGGCTCAGGTGCTGCTCTGCTCCCACAGGCACCAAAGAGGCGACCACCACCCTGCACATCCTCGCCCTGCTGCGGGACCTGCTGCCCTGCTTCCCTGCGGCCATGGTGAAGACTTGCTGCGAGACCTTGCTCCGAGTCATGACCCTCAGCCACGTGGTAAGTGTCCCTGCACCGTGGATGTCAAGGGCAGCCCCATTCCCCCTCGGCTGCGCCCTGGAAGGGCTTGAACCCCCTTGGCTGCTGGCTGGGAGCCTGGAAATGCAGGATGCAAATGTGGAGGAGCCTGGGGCAGCTGGTCTTGCTGGCCTGCCTGCTGTGGAAGAGGGAGGCTGAAGACAGGGTGCAGTCGCAGCAGCACTGGGCTTCCCCAGGCAGAGCCTTATTTGGGGTAGGGGGGGCAGAGGGTGCAAAGGTGTGCCGCCCGTCATGGAGCACCCCCTCTTGACACCATGTCCTTTGCAGCTGGTGACGGCGTGTGCCATGCAAGCCTTCCACAGCCTCTTCAGCGCCCAGCTGTGGAAGAGGGAGGCTGAAGACAGGGTGCAGTCGCAGCAGCACTGGGCTTCCCCAGGCAGAGCCTTATTTGGGGTAGGGGGGGCAGAGGGTGCAAAGGTGTGCCGCCCGTCATGGAGCACCCCCTCTTGACACCATGTCCTTTGCAGCTGGTGACGGCGTGTGCCATGCAAGCCTTCCACAGCCTCTTCAGCGCCCAGGAGCGGGCACACGTCAACCTGGGCAGGTGCAGGCAGGGGCCACGGCTGGGCAGGGGAGGAGGCGGCATGTCGGTCTCTCACCTGTCCGGTCTCTCTTCTCCAGGCTGCAGAAGGACCTGTGCTGGGCTCACCTGCCCCGGCTCTTCTCGGCCTCCATGAACTGCTTCCTCTCCCCACACTCCCAGGTGGTGGCGGCAGCGGCGCAGACCCTGGAGGGCCCGTGCATGGCAGCCTCATCTGCTTGGCTTCCCTGGTCCTCGTGGGGGGCTCTGCCTGGGGGTTTGGGACTTGCTGGAGGGTGGTGTGCCCCTCTGTGCCTGCCAGGGTGGGGGTCCACGGTCCACTGCTGCCCTATGTTCCCTGTTTGTCCTTACAGACCCTTCTGAGTGAGTGCGTCGCTCCTCACATGGATGACCTGGGCACCATCTCTGCATCTGCCCCAGCCCCTGCTGCCCATCTGTGCAAGATGTTCAGGTGATGAACGACGTTGTGGGAGAGGCTGTCCCCATGGGTCTGGCTGAGCTCTGGGCAGCCTCTACCCGGTCCCTGATCAGTGCTGGGTCAGTCCCTGCCAGCGTGACCCTCTCTTCTCTCCTTTCCAGGTCTGTGGAGGAGGGCCTGACGTATCGTTTCCATGCAGCGTGGGACGAGGTGCTGCGGGTGCTGGAGGTCTTCTTTGAGACGTGTGGGAAGCAATGCCACCCCATCATGAGGAAGGTGAGCCAGGCTGGGAGGGTGTCAGGCTAATCTGCAGAGGCAGGTGGGGTGGCTGTGCTGCTGCCTGGGCTGCGTTGCCCTCTCCAGCTGCAGAGTGGGGCCATCCCAGTGCCCTCTGTGTGGGCAGGGTCTGCGCAGCTCTGGGACTTGGCATGGGGGCATGCAGGGCAGCTGGCATCCCTGGGCAGGCATAGTGAGTGACACGTGCCGGACCTGCCTTTGTGGCTCCTCTGTGACCGTCCTGCCCTGTCCGCGCAGTGTCTCCGGTCCCTGTGTGACCTACGTCTCTCCCCACACTTCCCCTACACTGCTGAAGTGGACCAGGCGGTGGGGGCTGCCGTGAGTGCCATGGGCCCCGAGGTGCTGCTGGAAGCTGTGCCCCTGGAGATCGACGGCAAGGAGTGAGTACAGCCATGGGGTAGCAGGTCCTGCGTCCGCTCCCAGCAGCAGAGGACACGGGTCTCCAGCTGAGAAACCGTTTTCCTCTTGCACCTTTCTTATCTGCACCTTTTCTGATTTCTGCATGAGCCAGTGCAAATGACCAGTGCCTGCAGCACCCTTAGCAGAGTGCTATCCCTTTGCTTTCTTTGGCTCGTACTTTCTCTGTTTCCCCCCAGTTCTCATACTGGGAGATGACCAGCTGCCAGTCTGTCTGTGATGGTGACAATTTTGCAGCTGTTTGTTACATTCCTGTTCAGTCTCCATGTGGTGCTGGGGGTGTTTGGCTCTGCCGAGCCTCCCTGTGCCCAGCTTTGGGGCTGGGCGGGGGTGCCCCAGGGGCTGATGCCAGCAGTGCCCCACTCTTCCCTGACCTGTGCCTTCCTTCCACAGGGAGACGCTGGATTTCCCCCGCAGCTGGCTCCTGCCAGTGCTGCGGGACTACGTGCAGGGTGCGCGTCTCAGCTTCTTCACCAGCTACTTCTTGCCCTTGGCGGCCACCCTGAAAAGCAGAGGTGAGGAGGGTAGCATGGCAGGGGTCTCAGCTGGTGCGGTCCTGGGCTCCTGGGAGTGCCAGGGTGCTCAGTGGGACGTCCCTTCCCTCCGTGGGGTGAGGCAGGGCTTTGCTACCTCTGCTGCTCTGCTCATCTCCCCCTTCTCTTTTGCAGCCTTGGAGTTTACCCAGGCTGGGACGAGCGTGGCGGC